CACACCAGGCACAAGGGTGAGTATTGAAATATTGATCCTTATACTAATTTTGGTGATGGAAATTTTTAAACATTTAGCCTTTAGTTTTCTGCATCGCTAAAACAACTACCTTGTAACACAAAGTCAGTATGAATGCTACCGATTTCATAGGAGCAAACTTTGTTTATGTAGGTTAATCTGTTTTTTTTTAAATGTAAAAGAGCGAGCTTGAAATGTTTACAGGACCTTAGAACTCTTTTAATAATACCAATAAATAATATGAATACGAATTGACGCAGGTACACTCGGTATACTCCCACAAAACCGCTATTCGTCATGGATCGAGGAATGACTGTGGTCAAATTTCCTTATGTATCATCCATACTACTAACATAAACAAACATACATATTAATGTACTATGGTCCAATTGTATTGTACCTAATAATAAGAATGGCCAACTACAAGCATACGTACAATCGCCAGTTTTAGTTATGTCCCATTTCATTTCAAGTCGTCTAATAGGTCTCTTCGCAGTTAACTTTAGGTCCTCGTACTCGTATATACGTCTTCTAAAAGATCTAAATCCTGTGTTCCCATAAAGGATAAAATACTAATTTAGGTTCCGTATCGTCCATTGACAGGTGAACTTCGAATGTAACCAAGACTTCATTCTGATTGGTGACAAGCGACGAGTGTGTGAGGACAACGGACGGTGGAACCTTCCAGACTATGGATACACGGAGTGTCTACGTGAGTACATGTTTCTACTTAAAAATGCCTTGCCTTTTGTCACACTGTTAGTTCAAATAACAATACTTTCTGTTCAAACATTGTCAATTAAATTTCAAAGATTTGTTGCGACGTATTAACATTCAGAGCAATGACACAGAGTTTTATAATATCCAGGTAACCAAGAGTACTCTCAGCGCGCACTGTTCTTGACCTGGGGCGTCATATTGGCAGTTATTCTACCGTTAGGCCTGTTGATTTGCCTACTGTGGTTCTGGTGCTGGTACAAGCCCCGCTCCGAAGGCAAAGACGGATTCCGATTCGAAGACATACCGCGATCAAAATCAGCTTCCAGACTAAACCTAAGATCAGCTTCGATGGGAAATCTTACTGACACTATGAAATCTTCCACTTTACGTAGCACAGATTCTGATAAAAAGGCTAAATTGCCCGAAACTCCCACTGAAGAGACCCCAATGACTAGATCTGCTCCATTAACTAGAGCCGCTCCACCTCCCCCACAAGATGGTGACAGCTCAGGCATAGGGTACCCAGATTCCAATAAGAGTGACTCCAATAAATCTGACAAATCTAATAAAAAGCGTAGGGCCTATGACAAGACTTATCGAACTAACGAACCTCTCCCGAATGCTCCTAACGAGGAGTTCCCTGAAAAACTTTGGGATCTATCTGAAGAAGACTTACTTTCTATAACATCTCCTTCAGATACTGAATCAAACAGAGATTCAACTTTAACTCGTCCGGCAAAAGATATAGAATACGTTGGCAGACCACGTCAACTCGGTCGCAGGGCGTTGCCCAGTGACTCAGGTTATTCTACAAAGGATTCTGAAGATCCATACTCTCCTAAATACGAGGGTCAATACAGCCCCATACCTTCTACGTATTCTCCAACTTATTCCGAAATATATTCCCCACCAATCAGTCCTACCTCAGACAGTCCGAGGAGCACTTTCAACAACCCTGGCTTGCCGGACCCTCCGAAGAGTGCTCCTGCAGACTCTATACAGACTTTCACTATGCCCGCACAGAAGGGCAAGTCCTTGGAGACTCTGATAGACCCACCTATTTCCGAAATGCCCACAATGAGCCCTCGCTCTACTATGGTCTGATAACCTTGAAAGTATTGTTCAATACAGTATTCACTGCCCATCTAATTACAGTTCCAGGAGTATTATAAGATTAGAAATAATTTATTACGTAAGAAGCACATTATTTAGTATTTTGCACTTTATGTTTTACATAATTAGGTACTTTTAGGTTTTAATGGATTTCCGTGAGTTTCCCATCGTTGTTGTTGTTATTGAATGTTTGTAAATTCTATTAAATAATAATTTAATAAACTTATTTTAAATATCTACGCAGTCACACGAAGAGGAAATTTCTGTTCCCATTTCGGTAGAATAACTTGATCAATTGATTTTGTTTTAGGTAAGAAAGCAAGGAATAACGTCACGGGCCACGATATGTGGAATAGAAATTTTCTCTGAATTGTGATGAGTTATTATTTACTTCTTCCTAATCTGTAAGGTTATTGCTTGCTTTCTTATCTAGTGTACATAAAAAAACCAGGTCATATGAACAGGTACGTGTATCAATTTTTTTATTTGCATTGTGTTTATCTTTTAGGGCTTTGCGCAGCTGATAGCGTATCTTTGTTTTTTGATAAATTGCGTTATAAGGGCTGAGTATTTTTTTCATCGTTGGGAAATTGTATTGGCTGATAAGATTTTCATATTATGAGGTTATTCAAATACAGCCAATGTTAACTTGTTATATGAATCGATGAGTTTTTTAATTATGCTAGGGGGAGCAAATGAGGCATTAGAATTGCTAAATATAACTTGTGTCATATATTCATCTCTTATATATGTACAAGAAGGTTACCTAAAAAGATCTTCGCGAGTTTATACTTTCACAGACTAAAGAAACATACAATAATACTTTTTAAACAACACAGGTAAGCAAGAGTACTCGTCCCGTACATTGGGTGCGACATGGGGCATCATCAGCGCCATCATGATACCCATTGTGATTGTACTGATATGCATCGGATGGAGGCTTCTACTGCGCAAGAAGGCTGAGGAAAAAGAAGAGAGGGAATTCATGAACATCAAGTAAGTATTTTGTAATATCTGTCGTTTCGTGAGACATACTGCATTAACTAAAAATTATGGTTTGTTTACGTAAATGTACAGAAAAGCTCCACTAGTTTCGAGTCACAGAGGGACTCATCATAATTTCCAGCTCCACTTTCCAACTCCAGTTAACTTTCTGCTGAAGTAACAGAGTGCTTCGAAAGTTTAATAACGTACTACAATCAAAGAGACAGTTATCCAATTATATCGCAACAAAGGAAAGCTACCCATACATAGTGTTTTTAGAGTTCGATTTCCACAGCCCCCAGTGAAGCAACTACCCCTTGGGTGACCCTACATTCTTAGACAAGCCCAACAGATTTTTAAGCTTCTAACTAGAAACCTAGTCGCTAGACTAAACATAAAAATTTCAATAAAAAATTGACATTTGCAATAACTGTTCCAGGCCATTGGACCCTGAGGAATCCCTTCGAATCAATTCTGATGACGAGAGCATACCGTACAAGAAGGATACATCAGACGATACTCCGGAGCCAACGGAACCGGTGAAGGTGGTGGATAATCTAGAACCTTCACCAGAACCTATGCCAGCACCTATTCCGCCGGCACCCATGCCAGCACCTTTACCAGTAGTGGGCATCCCATACCCAGCCTACGGCATGCCTTATGACCCGAGCAGACAAGCTCGGCCGTACGGCGGGGAAACCGAAATTAATTAGTTAATGACTATCAAACATGGCGACGGTACAAGTTGAGTTTAGACGTTGGACCATAAGACCAGTAGGTATCTAAACCATAAAATGATGCCACGCCGTGTCTGATTGTAATAGAAATAAAACTGAAATAATTTTAACAAGACAATTTATTGAAAATTATTCCGTTTTATTTTTAAATAATAAGATACTTAGGTGTATTTGGATAAAAAATTAAAATTGCATTTTTAAGTTATATTTCGTGGTTCTAATTTGTACAAAACGTCCTAGAATAGAAATATTTTTATATACCTTAGTTTGTTATGAATATTAACTAGGTATCTACTTTTTCTACGACCAAATATTCGCGATCGAGTTCGTCCTTTTCTGTCTACCATAAAAATTATATTTTATCAAAAAAACATTCCACAACATAGCTGATAAGCTCAAACTAGATTTATATTGAAAAAAAAATATTTTCAATTGGTCGAAGCGCCACCACAATTACACTATTTCTCTTTCAATTTAAACTACAACTACTTGTAACTATCTAGATAGAAGTTGCTCATGCAGAATATATTTTTGTATGTACCTATTTAAGCACTTTATAAGAATTATTATCTACTGTGTATTAATTCTACTGTTTTAACTGTTATCAAACATAACTCTCGTTGCTATACATCCATACTAGCTTTGGAATTTGTCCACTCAAAATTCGGAATCCATGAATAATCCCACCATTGAAATAACTCTAGGTTTAAGTAAATAGGTATCTTATTTCCAATTTTAAGTAAGTACAATGCCTGTTTTGTGTTACATGACAACAATTCAGATAAAATAAGCATTCTGACATTCATATTCATGTCTAGTGTACATTTAGTTAAATAAAAGTTTTATAATATTAAAGTTTTTGTTTTACTCGTTCATTTATCTTTCATACGTTTGCTTTTCCACATGCTACGGTCTGCTAATCATTGGAACAGGTACAGTAATAGTAGATTACGTTCAATACAACAGTAAAACAAATTATAAAGTACCGGAGTACCTTTATATTCAAAAATATTTATTCAGTCTAAAAAGTGTGGATGGTAGGTACCTAAGCAAAAGTTGCAATTTCCTGTTATCTTGTGCATTGTATTTAGGATGCGGTGCTGCCAATGATTTATACGTTATATGTATGTGTACACGTACAATTCCTACTTAATTACTGCTATGATATTTTTCTCCATGTATATAACACACATATCGACTGAATATACAGTTGGTAGGTACTTCCAGGGACGTCCCCTTGCCCTGCGTCCAATATAGGTTGCTTATGGGACGACTTGCTCCATCCAGACCGCATCCATCATCGCTTACCACCAGGCGAGATAGGGGTCAAACGTCGGCCCATCAAAATAAGAAAAATTCAATTTTTTATCTATGGTCCCATTGCCCGATCGCATGACATTGACTTGTCACTTGTCACTGTCACTTTGTCAGATGAAAGAAGTCAAAAATTTTAGGCTAAATACTGTTTCGGTTTTATATTCCAAAATAAGTTATAAAAAATGCATAAATAATGTACAAATTGAGCAAATATACGAATGAAATAAATATGCTTGAGTTAAAGAACTACACTTGATTGTGATAAAAATAATGTTACATGAAGTTACAAAACAAAGTAATTCGGTTCTCGCAATACACTGTTATTAATTAAGACCAAATGAATCGTGAAATTATGATTGAATGTGTTGATAAATTTTTATCATTTCTATTTACTATGTACCCAGTTTAGTCTCTGCGCAACAAGATGTACCGGCTTTATTAAATTATTAAATTAAATATATTGCGAGTGCAAGGTAGGATAATGTATGTATTTGTTATATTAATTTTGCTATTTATTATTATATTTAATGTTAGTAACCCACTTGGTATCAACTCTAAGGATACCCTCTAACGTAACAAACACAAATGAAGTTAGATACCTGCATAAATAAGTATATTTATTTGAATGTGATTGTAACTTGTGTATTACTGATTCTATAAGCCTTTGAAGTTATTTAACTACAAAAACTATGGCTTGGTGATAAAAAGGCCGAAATTAATACCGAAAAGTAAATAAACTTCTGATACTAACTGACCTTCTATTTATCTATAGATGCTAAAAGCAAACTTAACAATTTAACAGCTGATATTATATTTTAAATTTGTTCTAATGAAAATATCTATGCTAGTGAATAAAAAGAATCTAGAGGTAGTAAAAAAGGTACCTTTATCTTCGGATTTATTTATATTAACTCGTTGAGTACCGTCTTTGTAGACACAATTATAGAACAATATGTTGCGGTCACCGGTGACCGCTTGGTGTTTGACAGTTTAAAAAATAAAAGCTGTTAAGTTACAAAATAGGTACCTTTATAAAGGTACATTGTCTGGTACTCTAGTGTGGAATTTCTGTAATTTAGTGTAGACTTAATGTGATTTTTAGCATCATTTATTCTTTAACAATTTTAAGAATTATACTAAAACAAATACTTATATATTTTATACTTGATCTCACTACAAGCGTAAATCAAAACGCTAATAGACTAATTTGACTTTGCAATTAGAACACAGGCATCAAGATGAAAATGAAAACGAAAAAATTGTGTACCCGACATTGGTTGGCAGCGTTTTGTGGAATCGGACTAATATTGTACTTCTGGTGGCTTATATCTAAAATCACCTTGCTGGAATCTCAGAACAAAGTATTTAAGACACAATTGAAATATTCACAATATAATACTTTGGTGAAGAAGATGTCTGTTGATTCCGTGTCTACATATGAAGTTCCTGTGGTAAGTCACTTTTGGCACTTTAATAATTATATTATTATATCCAAGTGACAAGTTTGTATGCTACCTGTCTGTGTGCATTTGTACGTGTCTATACTTACATATTTTAATAACCAGTCTGGTTATGAGTCGGCTCCCAGGAATATGACCTGGTCAACTCTTGTAATCCATGTTTTATTTTATAAGAATTTTCGCTGGTCTTGCCTTGGCATGAATTTCATACACAACAACAGGAAGAATATGGAGAATAAGAATATATACAAGAACTAGCTGTGCCCGCGACTTCGTTCGCGTAGAGTAATGACTATGAGCAGCGTTTTTTTTTTTAAATATATACTTATTTTTATTTTAGATTTGGATCATAATCACAGTCATTTTGGGTAGCTAAAAAACCTACTTTACTGTAATGCTTCTCTATATACAATATTAGACGTATGGCCATCGGCGGTGAAAGCATACAGGCTGCTGGGATTGCTAACACGGGACAGAGCCACATACAATTGACCGTGCGAAAAACAGCTGATACTTAGATCTATACCCACAACTTTTAGAGTCTGACCTTGAGCTTTATTAATTGTCATGGCGAAACATAGGCTCACTGGAAACTGAATTCGTTTAAAATTAAACGGAAAATTTTTTGGAATGAGAGGAATCTGAGGAATAAAACCACTATCACCTTTTCCGCACCCTGTTAAATATATATATATTTATAAGCCATTTCTGAGATTAGCGTGAACAGACAAACAGACAAACAGACAAAAAAAAAGTTAGTTACATTTTTGGGTTCGACATCGACATAACAATAGCCCCTGCTATTTTTTTTATTTTTATTTTCAATGTACAGACAGCACTTTTCTACAATTTTATTATATGTATAGATAGATAGATAGTGTTCGACGTGATTCTTTAATTTGACGTAACTTTTTTATTTATGAACCGATTGACATGAAACAAACACTAAAGCATAACTGAAGCATACCACAATATATTCGTGAAAACCGCATCCAACTCGGATAAGCCGTTTCTGAGATTAGCGTGAACAGACAAACAGACAAACAGACAAAAAAAAAGTTAGTTACATTTTTGGGTTCGACATCGACATAACAATAGCCCCTGCTATTTTTTTTATTTTTATTTTCAATGTACAGACAGCACTTTTCTACAATTTTATTATATGTATAGATATGAAGTTCAAAATAATTATAAACATAAATATGTAAAAGTTGGCCTCTTGGCTGAGGCCAATTTTTAGGATTAGTATAGGTACTAATCGTATATCCATTCAGTTAATTGTAGACTTTATTTATACTACTTCAAGAATACAAATCTATTGACAGTTCTTAACTTTTTAGATTCCAGATGCAGTTGGTACTCTATGTGAAACGGTACATATAGCGCTCGTGTGTATGGGCAAATGTTCAAGACAGATCACACCAATGATCAAATCTTTGATGCACCATCGGCAGAACCCCATACACTTCCATTTTGTTGTGGATACCAATTCACATAGAACTATTAACACGCTGTTTGATACTTGGGATTTGCCTGATGGTAAGTAACTTTGATATTTAAACAGGGAGGTAATACAATTCTTTACCGCTATGGTAGCCTATAGAGTAAGCCGCGGAAGACTTAAAAGTGTTGCCGAGGCTTCGGCTCGAAGCGCGGGAGTAGGAATGGGGTGGTTTTTAGTCAGTGAGAGTCTGATACTCCCTCTCGCCTCACCCGCGGTAGAAGTCATTGGATAATTTTGACCCAAGGTGAGAGCAGATATTGGATGATTTTCTCCCTCAAAAAAAGAACCTAGAGAGTAGAGAGTGACCCTATAGCGATACACTGGACATAATTTCGTAATATTGCTGAAAAAAATCGAAAACCTTAAAAAATATCCATCCCAATAAGTATTTGCATGACCCATCTTTACCTACTCATCCCGACTGTGTCGACAGTTGCACTAACTTACTAAAAAATAGTAGAAGAAAGAATAATATTTGTACATCTATTGAATTCTTAATAGGTAGTTAGCAGCTCTTAACAATTATTTAAATACTGATTACAGTAATCTAATACCAAACATTTTTTTTTTAAATACAAAAAAATATAACTGCACATCCAGTTGAGGTAATTCAAAACGAATCGATTTTCATTATCTATGTGTTACGGATAAAAACGAATCGCAATATGTGTTGATAAGCGCAGACCTCGAAAATTAGAAACGGCTGAATCAATACAGCAGTTTTTTGTATGCAGGTTCGATCAGCACTTATTTTTATTTTTTTTCTTTAAAAACGTTGCCCCACATTAGGATTTTCTCCTGTGTCGTGGGTGCGTTTACAAACATACAAGTTCACACAAGTGGAAGTATAGATTATAACTTCCTTATTTATTTTTGATATTTTCTTCGGTTCTTTTCTTACTTATTTCAAATCTATCGATCCGCCACATACAGTGGCGTACAAGGTGGCAAGTCGGCGTAAAATACCCGAGCCGGATTTATTTATTTATTTTTTTTTTTTTAAGGGGGGAACATCATCGAATGACTGCTCCCGCCTGGGTGAGGCGGAAGGGAGTGTCAGACTCTTACTGACTAAAAACTACCCCGTTCCTTCTCCTTCACGCCGAGCCGGAGCCCCGGTTACCCGTTAGGTTCTCCGCGACTCCGAATCGGCATCGGCCCTATTGGGCCCCATCTGTGGTGGTCTGATGGCTCTTTGAGGCGCGCGCGGAACGCGACGCGCCGTACGCTCGGGTCTGTTTCTGGTCGGACGGGGAGCCACCCATGCGCAGGCCCGCGCTTACGGTGGCCGGAGATCGTCTCGCGATCCCCGACGCCCGGTGTGTCCTTCGCGATGGCTGGGTTGCGAGGAGGCAGCGCTTCGCTGCCTCACGCGTCCCGCCTCCTCCTTAGCTAGCATGACTGCTTCGCAAAAGGAGGAGACGGCATCCCAATCCCCCTCGCTCCGCATCATGGCCTGTACTAGGCCCGGACGCGAGAGGTCGCCATCGCCGATCACTTCCCTGAGGGCACGGCGGTGCTCAGCCCACGCAGGGACCCAAGTCGGATAGGGCCTTCGTTAATTTCTCATTTGAACTTCTCTTTTCTGAATGGTGAAGAGAGGTAGGAGAATGTACCTATAGCAATAGGGTCACCCCCTTTACATAAAGTAATTATTAACATAATTGACAAATTAAATAGATTTTGCATACAACGCGTGCACTAGTTTGGATTGATGTATTTTATACTATATAGTTTAATTTCTTTTTATGTTTAAATGCTGTAAAACTTACATTCCTATTTCGCACAATTTCAGTGAAATACTCATGCTATAACGCCGAAGGATACTTATCACAAGTGCAATGGATCCGCAACAGCCACTACTCCGGTATATATGCGCTGGTGAAGCTCCTGTTTCCAGACATACTACCTGACTCTCTCAGTCAGGCCATAGTATTGGATTCTGATCTGACTTTCCTGTGTGATGTCGCTGAGCTGTGGGCCATGTTTAGGAATATGACTGATGACCAGGTGAGTTTAATTTGTGGGGTTAAGCATCATACATACATACATACATACATACATAATCTCACGCCTGTCTCCCATTGGGGTAAGCTGAGACTATGGAACGCCAATCGGGGCTATCGTATTTTTACTCACCAGGTGGCGCTAGTGTGACCTTCTCGTTTTTCGTCCATTAGGAAATTAGCTAGTGTCACGCCATTGGACATTCATTATTTGACAGCTGCTGTGATTGGACAAAAATACCCCTTCTTACATTTGTGCCATCTGGTAATACGTTTGACCCCATTGCTACGATTCCTACAAACCTCTTTCGCTTCATCAACAGTCATCAGTCTTTTCATGCATGCTCGTCGGTTAAAGGTATTTTTAACGACTTCAAAAAAAGGAGAAGGTACTATGTTCGGCGGATTGTTTGTTTTTTTGTTTGTTCGCGCTGTACTCCGCCATTTGTGGACCGATTTTTAATTTGGCCCTTTAATATATCGCCAATCTGGTCGATAAATGTCTAGGATTGATGATTGAAATGTATGATGATTTTTAGACATGTTTTAATGATAATTGTTATTAATATTTAATTTGGGTGGAGTGTCATCACGAGTTTGCGTATAGTTGACCTGTACACCAGAAGTAAAGGCTATCGCTAACTCAAAATCTATCACTGAACGTTTGTCAAATTAAATTAGTTTACCAAAATTGAAGAACCAATCGCTAGACATAAGCAAATGTCTATTGGACAAAAAAACCTTACATTTCACTAGGGAACCTATTGCAAAATTATTGTATGATGGATAAAAAACAATACTGTTACTAATAACAACTTTTCACAGTTCATAGGCCTAGTGGAGAATGAAAGCAGTTGGTATTACACGAACAAACCAAACCGATGGCCAGCATTAGGCCGAGGTTACAACACAGGAGTAATGCTACTAGATCTCAAGAAAATAAGGACTACTACAGACTGGACGAGGCTCTGGCGGGATGCCGTCAACGACAACATAAAAAGACTGAACCACACAACACTGGCTGACCAAGATGTTATCAATGCCATTATTAAAAGCCATCCTCGTTTTGTCTATGATATGAGCTGTCAGTACAACGTACAAATGTCGACTACGACTCTAGCCAAAAATTGTTATGGGGAAAATAAGGATAATGTTAAGGTAAGTTGTTTGTTTGTGATGATATATTCTTCTGAAACTAAAGTTGCTCCTGCGAGTAATTTCTGTTTACATAATGTAAAATGTTCGAGGATGCTTGATTAGTTTCAAGCTACGATTGGGGCTCATAACCATAATTCTCGTGCACGACGATCGTCACGCAGCTGCTTTATCAGAGAAAATGTAATGTTTTCTCTGATAAAGCCGTTAATAATGTTTTAACTTATTTATATTATAACTTTCATGAGACATACTAAATTAATTATTATGTTTTTCGGCATAATAATTGCTGGATTATGATGTTGCGGCGAGTTTCCGCGATGTAACTCGAGCCATAGTCGCACTGTTTCATGCATATTAATGTTTTAACTTGTATGTCTCTCAACATTAATTGTAAAAGATAATAGCTTTTCAAATATATTATTATTTCAGATAATACACTGGAACTCTCCTTTAAAATACGGCGTGAAGATACGTGACGCTCATTATTTCCGCGACATCCACCAGTCGTACGTCAACTTCGACGGCTACCTCCTGAGGGAGAAGCTTCACAGGTGCACCTTTATACAGCATGTTACTGTCAAAGTTAGTATACATTCTTTAACATTTACCTACATTCAGTCTTGAATTGGGTACTTGCCAAGTAGTTAGATTCAATACTGTTTTCGAACAGTTTTCTTTAAATTTGTACGAAATTGTGTATTGTGACGTCACGTTTTTTTAGCGTCAAACAGCATACTTATTTCTTAAAACATACTAAAATTAAGTTAGTCAAAAAATCAATTAATGAAAGTGTGATTATTTTTTAATAATTTTATTGTATTGAACAGTCGAAATAATTTATTTTTGATAAGGGCAAATACCCAATTGTATACCTCTATATGTACCCATGAAGGGAATAAAAGATATGTTTCTTTATTATTATTATTTCTTGAATGGCAACCAAGTCTAAACAGTGTAGAATGGTCACCATCACCATGGATGCATCCAAACATAAATAAATAAATTTCATTTCTCACTTATGATTTCCATGTGTATGTCTGATAGGAAATCAATCTTTTACCATATAGTAGGTGCCGGCAAAAAACGTGTCGTGGCGGTGGAGTAGCGTCGTAAAAACAGACTACACATTTGAAAGAGACTGAGCAAAAGCGTTCTTTATACCTAAATGTTTTACATAACCCCCCCCCCCCCCAACCTGCCTGGCACAGCTTCTTAATTGGAAGACACCCAGGCAGGTTTCGATTCCCGCACGGAGCAACTCTTTGTGTGATCCGCAAATTGTTGTTCCGAGTCTGGGTGTCATGTTGTATGTGAAGAATATGTTTGTAAACACAGCTACGATACAGGAGAACATCCTAATGTGGGGCAACGTTTTAAAAAAATATATTATTTGCAGATGAACAACTCGGACCTATGCACCAGTTTCCGCGCGGCCCAGCAATTGAAACTCCGCACACATCTCTACTTCATGGACTATAGCTACAAGAACAATGACAGTTTCGACGTGACGTTAGCTCTACAGCTCTCTATGGATCGTCTACTATTTCTTGAGAGACTCGTTAATTACTGGGAAGGTATATTTCATTACAATACTCAATGTCAGCCACTGGATTTTATATAAAATTACTTGACGTCTGAATATGCAGTGGTCATTAATTTATCGCCGGAGCTATTAAAGCACTCAACTTTCTTCAGTTCATAATATTTTCACAATTAACTCAGTTTACTGTGAAGTTATGTCATTAAGGGCCCCGATGTAGCTTGAAACTAGTCGGGAATGTTCGAAAATAATACAGTGAACCTGGTTAAGTGAGATATCAAGGGACCTGCAATGTCGTTTCACTTATAGAGGTATTCCACTTACCCAGTGTCTCAGATATACAGGTATAAATAAATATTTGTCTCATTTACAGAAGGTTTCATTAATAGAGGTGGACTTGGAATTACGTGTGGAATTTGTGGGTAGAATAAAAATGAGTAAACAAACAATGTTATCTCACTTACAGAGGTTTATGCATATAAAATTTACTCGCTGTCTCAGTTATAGAGGTAACTATGATGATAAATCGAAAGAACAAATCCCAGTTATTGAGGTTTCTCACTTATCCAGGTCCCACTTAACCAAGTTTCACTGTATATATTAATTTGTCTTCTGCAAATTATATTATGTTTCTACAGGACTGCTAAGTGTAGCTATAATTTGTCTACTGCTAATTATTATTATGTTTCTACAGGACCACTGAGTGTAGCTATTTACTTAGCTGACTGTGATGTGGGGAAGCTGTTGAACTTCATAGAAAATTGGTCTGATACTCTGCGAGACAGGAAGAATATCGGGTACCATCTCGTGTTTAAACATGATCAAGTAAGTTGTAGTTTCTTTTTTGCGATTTTTTCCCAACTTAGTCTTGTTATGCGAGTAATTGGTGTATTTGCTGACCAGATGGCGCTAATAGCTAAATGGTCTTGTTTCTTCAATCAAGGAATAATTCATAATTATTAGTTTCTATTCGCATTTAAGTCACTACAAATTTATAGGGTACAACTGTCCACACCGTGATGGCTAAGTCTTAGGTTTAGGGCATGCGATACCTCAGTCCACGAGCTACCTATTTTATTTTGAAACTATCTACTCTCCCGCAGTTTCATCCGCTCTGCTCAGTTCGTAATGATCGTACCGTGATGTTTTATAGCCTATAGCCTTCCTCAATACATAGGCATTCCGACAAAAAAAGAATTATTCAATTCAGACCAGTAGTTCAGGAGTTAATTGCGTTCAAACAAACAAACTCTTCAGCTTCACTACATAATATAAAAGTCGCTATCCGCCGTTTGTCTGTCCCTATGTATACTTATATCTTTAAAACTACGCAACAGATTTTGATGCGGTTTGTTTTAATAGATAGAGTGATTCTTAAGGAAGGTTTTATATGTATAATACATGAATATTGCACCCGTGCGAAGCCGGGGCGGGTTGCTAGTTAAGTATAAGATTATAACGCACGTGCATTTTATATTCCAGGTACACTACCCAGTTAACTACCTCCGTAACGTAGCGTTAGCCAACGTGAACACTCCGTACGTGTTCCTGATGGACGTGGACTTCGTGCCCATGGTGGACCTCTACTCGCACCTCAAGGCCGCCATCAAACTCATCAATCCTTACCCTCAGAAGAAGGTTTGTTTGATAATGCACTCTGTGCTGTGTGCACTTATTATACTACTATACTAACTGTATATTTAGCGTATACACTGGGGCTAATTAAAGTCCAATTATAAAAATAATCGTATATTTAAATTTCGTGTGTACAGGTAAGAGGTTGGTAGTGGAGTGAATTAACAATGGTTGCGGGTGACCGCGGTATGCACACTAAATGTGCCTAATAAAATGTTCTTAGTGAATTGTTGGCCGATGACCGATGTATCAAATTTTGTAGGTGTGAGGCACGCCGCAACACTAACTATAGCTTCTGCCTGCGGCTTCGCTTACGTTATCGTGGGATAAAAAGTAGCTTATTATGTGTTATTTCAGATCATAATCTATCCCTATTCGAAATATCATTTGAATTGTCATTAAAATAATAAGTTATTTTGAAATTTTGATATAATAGTTTACGAGAATAAGGTAGATGAAGATGACTAATTTTTATTTTAATATCCGTCTGGTAGATTATTTAAAAACATTAGACACGTATGTTTTATTTTCTTACAGAAACAGATATTTTTTGACGATGTATTGATTCGAAATATCGCGTGAAGCCACTTATAGGTACGTTGTATCGTATACATAGAAATAACGTTTTAGCTCCCACTCACTAAACTTTCATTTATCGGAGTATTAATTTAATATTTGTTTTACGACAAAATAAAACATACGTGTCTAATATTTTTTTCAGTACCTAACTGACGAGTAAATAGATTTTAAATTTTCACACCTCATCATCATCCTTATTTATAGCCAATTGTACAACGGAACGGCAATTTCATAGGTATAGTAATATTTCTTATTAAATATTTGTTGTTTCTATGTACAGTGCCTAGTAGTAGCAGCGTTTGAGTCGCAGCGCTACCGTAGTTCAGTCCCGCGCAGTAAGGCGGCGCTACTGTCGCGCCTGGCCGCGCGGGAGCTGGCGCCCTTCCGCCAACACGAGTGGCCGCGCGGGCACCGCCCCACCAACTACACGCGCTGGACCACTGCCAACGCTCCCTACGAGGTATGGACATATGATATACATGAACATTTTTAATGCCCCATAAATGTCACATTAAAAGTCAAAACTCAAAATCATTTATTTCAATTAGACCAGAGGCCTTAGTACGAGTTTGTTATACGAGTACGCGTTCGACGCTCTGATTGGCCGCCTCCAAAGAAACAACCAATCAGAGCGCCGAATGCGTACTCGTTTCGATTACTTTAAACGTAAAACAAACTCGTACTCGTAGAGGCCTTAGCCTCTGAAAGGCACTTTTGAACGTCAACAAAAAAAACACTCGACACATGGATATTTCTGGCGCCCAAAAGGTCACTCATTGTACTCACATGGATGCTTCCAGCGCCCTAAAGTCAGGGGTCTGTTACACATGAATATTTGTGGCGTTCTACAAATACGCACAACTATATAACACAATATATATTGATATTAACAGCACTCTGTGGAGGCATATTTATAGTACTTCACACATTTTAATATCTCTAGCGCCCTCGGAAGTACAAATTACGGCACTGTACTAACTTGTTAATTTTTTTTTTTGATATATGTTTCAGGTTGAATGGCAGTCGGACTATGAGCCGTATTTAGTAGTGCACAGATCTGTGCCTAAATACGATACCAGGTTCTCAGGCTTCGGCTGGAATAAGGTAACGTTTATAATCGAATCTAGATCTAGTTAGAATAGAATCTAGGTTTCAATTACCATATCGTTTAATGATCCTACTGAGTTAGGTTTTCGATTTAATCTGATCTTCTATTTATGAGACTTACAACATAAGTAGTGAAAAGTGAGCGTTACATTGTATAAAGCTGCGTTTACCCTAGACGAATCGAGTATGGTATGGACCGACTTACAAGCTTCGAACGAGCGCGCTGCGAGCAAAACTACGTTCGCGGATAGTGATCGTTTCGTGATCCGCTCGTGTTCGGTTCGTCTAACGTAGACACAGCTTAAGTTATATTACCTTTGTCCTATCTTGTTAGGTATTAAAAAACTGAATACAAATATTAAAACTCAAACTTAACTGAAGCGAAAGAGGTTTGTAAGAATCGTAGCAATTGGCGTTCCATAGTTTCTGACTTTACCCATGGGAGACAAGCGTGAAGTTATAAATGTTTTTATGTATGTATGTATTTAAACTTATAGCTGTCTTCATTCGTGTCAGGTATCCCACAGCGTAGAGCTCCGCGCGCAAGGGTACCGCGCGGTCGTACTGCCGGGGGCCTTCGTAGTGCACACCCCACACGCGCCCTCGCAGGACATCACCGCCTTCAGGGCCGACCCGCACTACCGCATGTTAGTATACCATCTCTATACTATTAATATTTTACGACTAATTTTTACTGAACCCGACGATAAAAATATTGAGCGACTTTGAAAACACAAAACACGTTAAATAGAGCCGCTAAAATGAATGCCCTATTTTCGAATGTAAATAAATGTGCAATTGAATGATTGTAGTGTCAAAAAAAAATTGTCTCTTTGCAATAGTCGACGTGCAATATTCATCGCCAGGTATTGTACTTGATATTCTTCCTCTAATGTCTTCTAATTTTTCGTAATGGGAGTCAAAACAGTTATTCATGTTCCCGAGACATCCTGGACTTCATTGTTCCGGTGTTTTCATGGTATATATACTGTAAATCCTGACTTACGACTTTGTTTACGACTTATCTACTAACCAATTAATCTTTATTTACACCGTTCGCCTCTAAACGATTTTTTCACAATAATGTATTATCATGATATTATACCCCCTTAACCAGGCTCACCGTTAGGTAAGTAAACCTTTTTTAAAAACTTGATTTCTTAAATTATAAGTACAAAGTACATCATTTAACTAAAAATCACGGGTTACTCACGTGAATATACTGAGAAAAGCTCTACTAGTTTCGAACCACAGAGGGGTTCTACAGCCTACAGTAGGCTGCGCGACTTCGTCGCGACCGCGCACGCTGCTCATGGGGAAGAATCCCAAGAAGAGCTTTTCTCAGTATATTCACGTGAGTAACCCGCGATTTTTAGGTAATTTAGTATGTCTCACGATAGTTATTATAAGTACATCATTTATTTATCGTTTGCTCCCTGAAATCAATACAAAAAAACAAAATAGACTTTAATAACCTCAAAATAATTCTCATTATCACAATTTCAGCTGCCTTGCCTTATTGAAACAAGAATTCATGGAGGACCTCAAGAGTAAATACAACATCACATTCAAAGAACCTTCGAATTCAGACCCAATGTATCTAGCACAAGCTAAGAGTTTAATACTAAACCAGGCAGGAGATCAGGACCTAAACTAACTGAGGTTATCGGTTTCTATTCACCAGATGGCGCTAATGTAGCTTGAGGTCATGTTTATTCAATCAAGGAGGCCCAATCCTCCCACGCCCTCTGCAATCCCAAAATGCTCAAATCTCAAATTCCTAATCCTAAACAGCTGGCATCGCACTTATAATTCCTCTGGTGCTAGGGGTGTCTATGGGCGGCGACGAAGACTCACCATCAGGTGATCCGTCTGCTCGTTTACCGCCCTATACCCCTATATACGGAGTCGCGGAGAACCTAACGGGTAACCGGGGCTCCGGCTCGACGTGCAGGAGAAGGAACGGGGTGGTTTTTAGTCAGTAAGAGTCTGACACTCCCTTCCGCCTCACCCAGGCGGGAGCAGTCATTCGATGATTTTCCCCCCTTAAAAAAAAATACCCCTATATATACATGTTTAATGACTGCACTTAGTAAGTGGTTGGATAAATGACCTCTAGCTACACCTGCGATCCTGGCGGTAGCCCTCATTGTTATATTTGTAACTATGGTTGTCTAAATAATTGTCTAATCAAACCTGCAGCATGTCTTATGAATGACCCTTAAGAAAATAGCAACTCCAAGAGTTTGCTATTTCATCTTTTGATAAAGACGCTTTATTTTTGCGCAGCGTAGATGGCGCTGTTGTAGGTTATGATCCTCTTTGTTTAATTATGACTATAAAAAAGTATCTTAACAGGTATAAAAAATGTTTGTACTTCATAAGACATGCAACGGGATTAATTAGAAAAAAAAAATAAATGCCCCAATTAGTAATATTAAGGATAATTTATGTCCCAGATACGTAGTCTTTGACTTAACAATGTGATCGAAAAATATGGTGAATATTTTGTCGACGTAAAATTATGGCGAATTACATGTTTATGTGTATTAAGATCGGAGTGCTTACTCTTGAAACCAATCCCAATTTAATTAAAATCCAATAAAATTTAAATTATCAGATATTCAATGTCAACACTACACTAAAATTATATAAAGACTGACGACTGTTAATAAAGCGAAAGAGGTATGTAAGTGCCTAGTGCCTACCTCACGGAAAGACAGGCATAAGGATAGGTATGTATGTCAACACTATACAATCCCATTCGTTAAAATATACCATTAGTTCCAATACCATTTAGTTCGTTCAATATCCATGCAATACGGATGCAATGGAGCTAGTGTTGTAACTCGATAGTACGCGAAATTTCATAGTATATGAATATCGATCGGTCGCCATTGGATTGAAGAGCAAGCCCTCTAATCTATATGTCTCTATGCCTGTAACAATATTCACCGTATTTTTCCTTATACCATCGATGTCAAATCGGGTTGATTGAAGTAAGAATTTTTTTACTCACGTAAGAATTGCAATAATGTTTATCTACGAATCTAAAATAGTCATTGAGATTAAAATAATGAGCAAAATATAAATGTATACAGTGTATTATAGCGTAGGTATATTATGTACATGTACAATGCATCAGTTTTTGCACATAGTCTAAGGTTCCGGCCCAATTTGTCCGTTACCCTGCGTTGCGTCGTCGCAGCGTCGTTTTCTATTATATTTTCTATGACATTTCCCATTCATCGCGCGCTTCAACGGATCGACGGCCAAGAGATGAAGCGGGAGTAATACGCAACGTCGACGGACAGTCATCAGTAATGACTGTAATGACTTCATATTTGTAACTGAGACGCAACAGCGACGTAGTGCGTCGTCGCAAGCTTGGTCCCGCGTACAATGCGTTGTTTCGTTGCGACGACACGACGCATCGCAACGGACAAATGGAGCCTCGCTCTAAACTAAAAATTAATTCCTAAGAATTAATTACTGAGATGACGTAATATCATTTATTTTGTATGTAGGAGAAAAGTTGTCAAACTGTTGTGAATTGAAAATCAATTAATTTAACTCGAAACTCTTTAAAAAGAAATCTTTAAATTATGTGACTTTGAATGGCCGTTTTCACGAATCACCACTAACTAAAAGTCACTAAGAGTGAGAAAACACCTAAATCAACCCAGTACTTGTATTGTTAGGTGTCACTTACAGATTATTTAATGAAAACCAAAATGACGAGTGTCACCTATCTTAGCTTAAGAGTTTTTAAAATGTAGTGAAAACGGTCATAAGAATATTATTTTTGTATCGTAACGATTCCCGCCTTAGGCGTTTTTTACTGTGTAGGTAGAATATAAGAGTACGAATTTGTATGGATACGGTATATTTGTTCATGCTTAAGATACATTCCTGTTTTTTGTAAGGCCGATAGTATACGGGACACTAAAAGTCCTATTTCATTGATACAACATGGTGGTGCGACTAGTTGCGCAACCATATTTTTATAGAGACACTAGATAAAATACAAGCAAACAACTGGGATGAAAATTAAAAATACAATTAGTCCGTAAGTTAGGTAATGAAAAAATATTAGACACGTATTTTTTAATTTTGTCGTATAATAAAACAATACTTAGATAAAACGAATCAAAGTTTAGGAGTGGGGGCTAAAACGTCATTTCTTAGTATAAAATGTACATAGAAGTGACGTCACGCGACATTTCAAATCAATGTTTCGTCGAAAGTATTTGGTTCTGTAAGAAAATAAAAAGTACGTGTCTAATGATTTAAAATAATCTACCAGACGGACATTAAAAAAAAAATTAGGCATCTACCCTATTGATTTGGCTGCCGACAACTTTGTTGTGCTACGAAGTTGATAATTAATGAAACAGTCATTTTGTTTGCTGCGCAACTTGGTTCTACAACTATTGTGTATTAAATAAATAAGGCCCTTAAAGTGTCTTGTGTAAATATGAAGGCCTAAAACGCAAGAAAGGCCATTACAGTATTTCTTTATCTCATTTTTATATATTTTTTGTATCATTTAAATGTATGTATTGTAATTTAGTTATATTCACATTCTGTTGAATCTGGATAAGTCTTAATGAATGTATGAATTATGGAATAAGAAATCAGAATCTATATAGCACAGATAATGCCAAATGAAGATTTTCTCTAAAAGTACGTCAAAATATGACTAACGCGCTTCTCTTAAGTTATCCTTCAAATTAGACGTACCATAAGAATTAAATCTCCTAATATTAATCAAAAACTTCATTTGTTCCTTGCAAAACCAAAGAAAAATATCTCTTTGTTTATTTTGCTATATTTTGTAAGGGCTATGATAACGTGGTAGCGCAAGTGAATAGAGAAACTCCAGAACAGACACTTATGACGTCTTAGTTGACATCGAGACATCGTTCGGCGTTCTGATTGGCCGGCTCCAATAAACCAACCAATCAAAACGCCGAACGCGGTCTCGTTTCGACTACTTTAAACGTAAAATAAATTCGTACGAAGCCCTTAGGTGACCAGAGTGTCTCGAGATATGGCTCTGAAATAAAACAAACTGAAGAGTACATGACACAAGTTTATGTAACGGAAAAGTTATACAGAATTAATCGTTAATTTTTTTATAGCTGTTTTTTTTTCAGTAAGGAACACGCATGTTTTGATTATTTAAGTTAATGTTTTTGTGGTTTTACGCAAATTGTGATATTATTCCTTTTATTGATTTTATTCCATATACCATCACAAATCAATTATTAGTAGTTATTAATCTTGCCAAAAGATGTAAACTTGTATATCTTCGCTTATTTTTGATACACAATATGCACTTTTTTAAATTTCATTGTAGGCACACGATTTAATTGTGATAATTATAATTTTACGTATTATTTTTTTATTGTCATTCCAAATTATACCTGTAACGTTATATTTTTTTATTGAGAAGTGGCAGACGTGCCTGTATTTGCAGCTAATTTGTTAATTCGAATAATTAGTAAAATGATTTAATCGTTTGTATTTAGAATATTTACGCATAATAAGTTACCTATTTTTCGATGTTATGTCGCCAAAGAATGTATTATTTTTGAGTATTTTGTTTGATTATTTTTTTATTGTAAACGTTGTAAGCTCGCCAACACTGGTGTATCTGTGAACATTTTTACGTAATATTACAAAAACAAAGAAATTAATCGGTTCAATGTGTTTTATTTTCTTATACACACTTATTATGAAGACAAAATTAGCTTGGTATGTTTTTTTTAATGAAGGTATATATAATATGTGGCCGCAAACAATTTATGGGCTCGTACACAAAACTGAGATGCGAATTCGCAACGCAGAAAATTACGATACGAATTGTTGCGATGCGATTTCGTGCGACAAGGAATCTCCCAGGGTGACCATTCCTTCGACCACCGTCAACCCTACTAAACGTATTTTAAATTGAAAACTAGGTCGTGACATGGATCGTAAAAAGAAGTGTGCACTTCTGTTATTGCTTAGATTCAGAAAAAAGAAACAAATAAGATTTTGGGAAGTTATCTTCCCAAATATAGAATAAATAAAAGTTATTTTAATGCGCGATGCGAATCAGTTCGCAAGTTCTTGCGATGCGTAGAGGGAGCTCGCGCAATTTTACGATGTGATGGCGCATCGCAGTTTTATATACGAGCCCTTAATCAGCAAAAATAAAACAATATTCTGGACTCTTATTGCACACAATACATTCATAATGAAGTGTCAACTAACAAAGTTGGTGAAAATTGATTGTCTTGTACAAAACATCGAACAATTCCTTCAATAACTTTCAATCCCCACCATCTTTGATTCCGCATTCGTAAACAAATTATTACTGTTTGGATTTTCTTTTGTAGTCAGCAACCAAATTAAGATAATTATCTGGAAATCCATATCTTGTATGTCCTTTTTCAAATTTGCAACCGCCTTTTTCGCAGTTACTAAAGGAGAATTGTCGTTCATTGAGGATCCCTTGGACTCTGTTCTTTGTTTTATATTCTCTACTTTAGAAGTCAGATCGTTCAACATCTCTTGCCTCTCTGTCACTCCCACACTGACATCTTTGTATTCATTCGTAACTTTGTTCAGCTCATCCAAGAGCGCACCATATTCTCTAACTAAAGGCTCAAATTGTTCGTTCAGTATGTTTTCTCTAGCAGATATCTTGTCCATGACAGAACTTATATTTGTATGCAGTTTATTCAGTTGTGAACCAGTAGTTTTGTATCTTTCGAATAATTCGTCTCTATACGTTCTCATTTGAGAATGTCTCGCCCTCCAATCGCGACCATCTGCTGAAATTTTAAGTCTAAGCGCTGGTGCTACCCTTTCCAGTTCTAGTTTCCACGCTTCCCAGTCATGAACTTTTTTGACCAAACTCGAATCCTTTTCTTCTGTATTAAATTCTTCTTCAGATTCTCCAGAATAAATTGCCATTTCTTCTTCAACTTTGTCTAGTAATATTTCTGTTTCGTCTTCAACTTGGTCTACATCATCACCAGCTTCCTCAGGCTCTGGTATATCCACGATTGGTTTCTGCCATTCGAATTCTTCAAACTTTAAAGCTTCGTCAGCAAGGACATTCAATATGTAGCAAACTTGTTCACCATACCCTTGTTTAAGTTTGTGAGAGGAGAAATCGACAGCAATGTCCTTTTCTCTCAAGATGTCGAGGATAGTAGCAATTATACTGTTTGGGTCATCTTCTTCGTTCGGTTGTTCAAATTCTTTGCCAGTTTTTCTGATCAGCCACGCAGCAGTGGATGCGAAAACATAAAATTGTTCCCCAGGATTCGTACTAGTGATAAAATAATACCTACTCATCGGTTTCATCTTTATTTGCGAACGTAACTCGGTGTCGACTTTTAATAATCGCAATTTGTCCATTAATTTTAGATCCATTTTCCTTAATGTTTTACGGAAGTATTATTTAAATTACAAAATACAAGCACACACTCGATAATGGTTTATTTTTGATGCTGTCAGTCAAATGTTTGGGCGGCGTTACTATGGCAACGCAGCCGGTTACCACACTCAAAATTGCATCGATTCGATGAGTAATGAGGTGGAGGATGGATAGAAAATTCTATAACAGTATACAAATATTTGTATCTTTGTATCCAGTGCGGTTGCATTGCGTAGGTAATTTCAATAACTTCTTTATTTTTTAAAAATTATAAATGCTTACCCACGAAGCCCCTTAAAATATTGTAGTACATACAGTCATTATAATCAACACAAGCAAATTATATTACGTAAGGAATGTTCGTACTGCCTCATGCCTATTGCCTGCCTCATTGGCCGAGTGGTCACTAGTGCGACTGCCGGGCAAGGGGTCTCGGGTTCAATTCCCGGGTCGGGCAAAGTATTACTGGGTTTTTCAAAAAAACAATCACAGTAGTAGCATGGAGTCTGGAATTGTGCCCGGCATATGGCAATAGGCTCACCCCTTATTATATGGGATTCATAACATAAATAGTGAAAAGTGGGTGTTACATTATACAGTGGAATAATGTGCACCTCTACCTACCCCTTCGGGGATAAAAGGCGTGATGTTACGTAATGTAATTTTCGTACCTATCCCTTCAGGAAAATGTCGTTATTAATGAATAACAACTATTAATTAAATAACGGAAGTTCACAAAACAAGATATAATTACGTTTGTGGAATTAAATTCGGATCGTAGTGTTGTTATTATTTCAGTAGCCAGAGCAGTGAGTAATCCCGTGACACACGACCATTTCCTACGTCAAGGAAACCTACCAACCTGTTGTCAGTAAGTAGTTGTTAAAATATTCTTGAAGGTATTTATTTAATATGCGAAAATAATAAATAATACATTTTTAAATAGAACTTTACGGTTGACACAATGCATGGACGACTGGCGCATACCTACGCAACATGACATTGCTAAGGATTGTGGTGATTTTAATTGTCCCACAAAGCGTTTTTTTATATGATCCACAAATTGTATATCAAGGGCTACTTACTGGCATAAACTTTTTAGTACTAGGTACTAGAAGACGAGAAACAAATGGGATCTGTCAAAAGTGAGTTAAAATTGAATGTTGTATTAAACTGACCTTCTTTAATATCGAGTGATTTTAAAGAAAAGACATAGCTATTAAGAGTATTAAGGCACGCTTGAACCTTTTTCTAACCTAACTTACCAAACATACATTATAATTTATTTTTTTAACACCATTAAAACTTTTGTTTTGATTAAAATACATAGACACCCAAAAGAATTATTAACGTTATTGCCACCTAACAATTGTGTTGGCTGTTGGCTCACTGCACGCAATTTCCGTATGTATCATCATGTCCACGTACGATCACCTTGTGAGTAAATTATTTTTACGAGTATTTATGGAAATTAATTTTCCATTGAAAACTGTATTGGTGTACTTTATACGGTGAACATACATCATATCTATAGATTCTTGCATAAGCGGTAAGTGTGGGAGAGCCATGTTTCGGCACGAATGGTCTGGCTCGACCGAAAGGTTACCACGGCCTCACAGAAAACTGAAGTGAAACAACGCTTGCGTTGTGAATCCCCAACATTCCTCAAAACGCCTCTGGTGTTTCAGGTGTCCATGGGCAACGCCAGTTGCTTACCATCAGGTGATCCGTCTGCTCGTTTACCTACTTATCCCATAAAAAAGTGTTGAACCTTTTGACTTTTTCTACGTCATTAGCAACGCACTTACGATGTCTCTGATACCTATCGCATGGAGGTACAAGATGTGCACTCCTTATCAGGCCCTTGTTCAGCAATAGACATGACATCTTCCGTGATCCGTCTAATGGTGTTGATGATCCTGCCTTACATCTAAATCTTATGTTACAAGAAGACACATGATTTTTGGTCCCTGAGTTACCTATTCCAAAATACATTTTTTTTTTACATTTGATGGGCCGACGTACAGCTATTTACTATCTTGCCTGTTAGTAAGCGATGATGCGATCTGCGATGCATATATTTTTGCAATAACTTTAGCCAAAAATCTAGTCCAATATTTCTTTCAATAAACGAACTATTAAAACTATCTAAGTATATATCTTCAATCGTTTGAAGTTATTATAGGATTTCGCAACATCTGCGATGTAGTCGCGGACACCTACAGTCGACATTCGCCAGAATTCTAATGATTGCAGGAAGAATGGCTGGACACAGTGCCAATGGCATTGAATGCCAAACTTTGTTTCATAATATTGACTGTAAAGCTTCCCAAAGTTGATTGAAAGTGCTTTTTATACTGCTAATCGGTAGCAACACAGCCCGCCTGATGGTACCGGCCACTGCAGGAGTAGCCTACACTTGCGTCGTCAAAGGCATCACAAGTGCGTTGCAGACCAAATAGGAAACTGTCTAATTGTTCAACTTTTAAGGTGCTCTGGAAGTGTCTCATTATAGGCGACACTATCCTTGATCGATTGCGCATCGTTGTGCCTTTACCACACCTATGTTTATTTATTTATATGCATACCTATAATTAATTGTCTCCAATTCCTTTATTGAATCAACGTCTTTCTCTTTCATACCAGTAATAATAAATTTTAAAAATGTATATCTCAATAATGCCGTCTTTATCTCGTATTACTGGTACGATAAAATTAGAAACGTTGGCCACCACAGTGGTAGGAGCACAGTCGCGATCAGGCGTCCGCGGCGAGCGCACGTCACGTAACTGCGGTTCATATTGTAAAACTTTTTACACTTAATTTTGTTTTGAACTTAGTGTAGAGTGAGTAAAGTATATAGATATTGTGTTTTATAACCGGTGCAAGTGGTTCGTGTGCGTTTTTAATTCAAAAAACGAAAATCTATTTGGATGTTTTTGATTGTAATGTGAAATTGTTTTTCGGAGGTAAGTTTGTGTTTTACTTTTTTATTGCATTTCTATTTTAACAAAAAAAAATACTAAGTAAGACTATGCTCAAATATATTAAATTGCAAAGTTCATCCCACAAAAAATACAACAAAAGCTGGTAGAAAATTAACATGTCCTTTCATGTTAAAACAACAACTTAATCGAGTGACTGCAGCTAGCCAAAACTTTCTCACATTCTCTTATATAAACCTAGAACAAATGACTGAAAAGCAATTTAAGTTTTTCTACTCCAATACTTCGAAAAGACACTTACGTAAAAACAAGTAAAAATTAGCTCTTAAATCTTGGGTCTAACGACCAACAGGAAAGTTGCATCCATTAGGCCACCTAAGAGAAACGAGATTGATTTTAACACACTATTCCTACTTGTATATGTTTATAAAATACAATAGGTAAGTATACATACCCACTTATTCATACATATAGGCATCTACGCCAAAAACGAACTGATGGCAGAGTAATTCCAACAAAACTAACAAGCATTTACAAATCCAATTTTAAATTAAAAAAAAAGAAAACGACTAAAATAAATCCTTTTTTGACATTTGGACTGCTTATAAGAAAAACGTGGTTTTGAAAAATACAGGTTATAGTGCGACTGTAACGGTTTTTGTATACGTAGGTATCAAGGTGTCGGTTGTCGGTTGTGACGAGCGAAATTGGCGACATTTTTACTTAATGTACACGTTTCTAACCTACTTTAGAAGTACCTGTATGCATATTAGATAGATATCTACTTGTAGACCTTGTAGTAATGGCTGAGTAGAATACATCTGTCACCAACGTACACAACGTAAGAACCGCCTAAGGAGATACCTATTTAATAGACTGGGAAGCAGTGGTCTCTAATAAAACTAGATCATTTCTTTATCAGAGTCCGGATAACAACGCTCTCTGACCTGGGGGCTTACTTTTGAATCCAATTATTGATCTTGGTCGACATTGGTACTCTTGAGTTGCAACAGCACCTACTGCATCCGTATGCGTGGATATTGAATGAACTAAATGATATCGAGTTTGGTTTTATATTCCGTACTCTGAATGCTATTTCAACAGCTACGATAGGGGTTGTATAGTTTTGACATTGAATAATTATTGGATTGGAACTGAATTGACATTGAGATTGGTTTCAAGAGTAACCTCCCAGATCCTTTTAAACTGCAATCTCTAACCGTGCCAAGCGAGGAGATTATGGCAAAACCTTCGTTCGTTAAATAGGCATATAGTCAAATAGTGGACTCTCACAATCACTAGCTGTTCATGACCTTGATGATGTATCTAATTAAAAGAAGTTTTTTCGAAGCATATTGTTGTCTGGCATCTTTAGAGGTCACGGGAACGACTGATCCTGTTTTGTACCTCCAGACGCAGCTAAACCATTAATAAGGCGGTTTTCGTATTCAAATTCTTGAGTCGTAACAAACACTTCTGAGATATCGAGGTCTCAACTAGGGTTCGGGGTAACTAGGATGCAAGAGAGGGTATAGAGATATGTGTCTACTTTCTCCAATGATTTTGCTAGGCCATAGCAATATGTGAGCCTTGAAACTCATCTTCATCATCATCACCTAATGAAAATTATCCCATTTTGTTCATATAAAAGTAGTCTCTAAACATCGGAAATAAAATCTATAATATAGTTAGTGGAGAGCGGTCACCGGTGACCAAGCGCATGAATTTCAACCAAAACTTTGTAAATACGTCGATTTACTGAAAATCCCGAAATCAAATACCCAATAATACTTTTCCTGTGAAGGTGACTTGTTTCTGTACATATTTCTTCCAGTAGGTACTAAACAGTTGAAGAAGTAATTTTCTTCATTTAGTTTTGTCCTTTTTATATTTTATTTAGATGTCAGAAAAAATAGCGTGTTCATAATTATAGTTTTAGAATCACCCAAAACTTCCTTTCAAGTACATATCTCTGGATAAAAATTATCATTCATAATCTTCCCCAATTTCAAGGTAACCCTTTATTAATGTCACAGACTTGATTAGTTCGATTTTAACATTGATATTATAAGCAATTGATAACAATACAAGTATCCAATACAGGAACACGTTACCATATCGGAATTCATATTGATAACACGTGATAACTGATTGCTTGGGCTTGAGCAATCAATTTATGCGTTTCCATCAATGTTATCGTACAATTTATGAATACTATGTCCGACGTTGCATTACGTTTTATTCATTTCCAAACAAAACACTTGATTTTCTTAGGAGCACTAGTAAAAGTGGACATAAGTGGTTAATATAATAATAAATCGTTAGGTTTTCTATCAACATCATCGTCATCATCAGACGAAAGCGTTCGCTTCATAAGGGAAGATTAATTTTAAATAATACTGACTTTCGCCGGTAGACTAGAAAACTAGGTTTTAAGATCATTTCCAAAAATCTACTCTAGCTCAGAATGAAATCGGTTGTCAAAAAGATTAGAAATACCTAGGTACTAACTGACTGGCTTCGTATTAATCATTCAATAAAAAACAAAGAGCACGAAATATGTGGTTGACGGACGTGTGGCGAATACATATATTTAACTGGAAATAATAAAATAACAGAATGAGCTGTCTTTTTTAAATTGCTCTTTTGGCAAATAGAAATCAGCCTCCAGAGTTCTGGATTAGTTAGTTCTTGATCTCCTTTACAACCACACACTGACTGACAATCATGAATGCAATGATCCATCCTTTACTCAATTGTTCCACCTCTCCGTATAACATACAGAACGTTCAAGATCCGTCTTTTAATTTCTACCTTTCCACATATTTAGAACGATTAAATTCAACAACTATCACATGGCCTTTTCTCACTTACCAAGATGAAAAAATGTATAAACTTAAACATCGGTGTTTATAACTAAAATATATAAATAATAAATAAAATACCAAGCATTAAAGTCAGGTCATTTGTATCCTAGGATGTGAGATCCTTCAGCTATATTTGCTCTTATTGTTATAGAAAACAAAAGGTGATCGGAACATACTATCCGCAAGGCATGGCTATTGTTTGGAAAGTGATTCTTTAAAACAATAGTTGAGGATGTTGTTACTCGCATAGATGGCAACAGATATAGTAATCTTTGCATCAATAAATACCTACTTATGCGATGTTAAATGTATTATTGTCTGAGAATGCTGGTTGATAATACTGATGAGAATCCAATAAGGAAGAGAAGAATTAGATTTATTTCATTATTGGTCTAGTATGGTACCATTTTAATAGCTCCCTGCGGCTCGTAAAACGACCTATTTGTAATAGGTTTTAGGTTATTTTTGCTGAATCATTTCGGAAAGTGGCGCTAGTGATGCAAATGGACAGATACGTGTCAATAAAGTAATTATTTTTGTTAGAAAATAGGGAATCTTCTAAAAATATCAGAAGATTATCAATCTTCTTTTTTGACAATGATATAAAACAAAAAATAATGGCATTTTTTTCACCTTTGATAAAAACAGAAGTACCTAAATTAAATCGCAATTAATATTTATAGCTACCTATTTGCTAGCTATAGTCTGTGGTTACGGGCATAAATAAACACGACTAAGCAAAAACTATTTTTATGCGGTAAACTATAAAATGACCACAACATACTCTTTGGTGTCGGTTTTCATAAGATATATGATATATTGCTACTTCAGAACATCTGGTCTGGAATTAAGTCCCCTTAGGTACCTACCTACATACGTATACATACATATACATTACATATCTACGTATTTGTATCATTTGATTAGTCTAGTGTCTATGCCATTTAGCTTGTAGGACTGATTGGATATGGTTTTGGTTTTCAAATTAAAGATTAATTAGGATTTGTATCAGAATGGAGGGAGGATGTTCATTACACTTCGAAGTGTTTTAATTGCATGAAAAGCTTTACCAATTGATAAATTGTTAGTGTATGTCTAGCCTGTGTTAACCGCCCTGGGAAAAAGAGATATAATGCTATGTATGCATCGCCATTATTTTGACATCATAATGAAAACTTTTCCCCATCACATGATTTATCTCACTACGTTACTAGACAACAAAGGATATTGTTGTAAAATATTTTAGTTATTCACAATATTTCCCTTTATCTCGGACGCCATTTATTTCAATCTCAATATTTACAAACAACAGTGTCTGTTCCTTACATCGAAATACTCGTAAAAGTTACATAAACAAGTTGAATTCGTTGTTGATTTTCTTCTTCCGAGCGTTTTAATGTTCGGTTGGAGGCCATTTTAGCATTTAATATTGCAAAAATGCAATTTTCCACCACAAGCTTTTGTACTGTTTCAAGTGTGTGAAATAAGCTTGTCATTTCATGGAAGATCTGAGCATTGCTTTGATGTCGTTTGCAAATAACAGACGTTATGACTTCATAATAAATACAAATACATCTTGGATTTTGACAGAAAATGTACTTTTAAGCCTTTAAAGTCGTCGCGGAGAACCTAACGGGTTACAGCGGCTCCGGCTCGACGTGCAGGAGAAGGAACGGGGTGGTTTTTAGTCAGTAAGAGTCTGACTCTCCCTCCCGCCTCACCCAGGCAGGAGCAGTCATTCGATGATTTTCTCCCCTTAAAAAAAGCCTTTAAAGTACTTACTAGAAGAAAAGGCTTCCCTGTCTAAAAGTACTCAATTACCTACTAAGTTAGTATCGAAAAGCAAGACAACTTTACTAGACTGTACAAATATTAAATTAAATAGTGAACAAAACTTAGTTTGTACGGCCTACAGCACTTAATAACTCGAATGACTCACAATTTTCTCTAAACGGTAACAGACTGGTCGTTTATTGATTAGTTCCACTTAACATAGACATATAATTTTAGCTGCCGGTTAGTATGAATGTGTGATTTTTTGCATCGTCTCGTCGGTTCGGAAATAGCCCGTCTGGTTGGCGCGGCCTCGCGTACCTCGCTCGACTGACAGTGCTGCACATTGCTACCTAGATTTTACAGAATAATATGAGTACTATG